TGCAGTTGGAACCAAACATCTCCAATTTGGACTCCAGACCAAAGGACACATTTCCACCGTTCTAATGTCCATTGCTCGTGTTTCTTGGCCCAAGCAACTCTCTTCTTCTTATTGGTGTCCTTTAGTATTGGTTTCTTTGCAGCAATTTGACCATGAAGGCCTGATTCACGCAGTCTCCTCTGAACTGTTGATGTTGAGATGTGTCTGTTACTTCAACTCTGTGAAGCATTTCTTTGGGCTGAAATTTCTGAGGCTGATAACTCCAATAAACGTATCCTCTGCAGCAGAGGTAACTCTGGGTCTTCCATTCCTGTGACGGTCCTCATGAGAGCCAGTTTCATCATAGCGCTTGATGGTTTTTGCGACTGCACTTGAAGAAACTTTCAAAGTTCTTGACATTTTCCGTATTGACTGACTTTCATGTCTTAAAGTAATGATGGACTGTCGTTTCTCTTTGCTTATTTGAGCTGTTCCTGCCATAATAAGGACTTGGTCTTTTACCAAATAGGGCTATCTTCTGTATACCTCCCCTACCTTGTCACAACACAACTGATTGGCTCAAACGCATTAAGAAGGAAAGAAATTCCACAAATTAACTTTTAAGAAGGCACACATGTTAATTGAAATGCATTCCAAGTGACTACCTCATGAAGCTGGTTGAGAGAATGCCAAGAGTGTGCAAAGCTGTCATCAAGGCAAAGGGTGGCTATTTGAAGAATCTCAAATATAATATATATTTTGATTTGTTTAATACTTTTTTGGTTACTACATGATTCCATATGTGTTATTTCATAGTTTTGATGTCTACACTATTATTCTACAATGTAGAAAATAGTAAAAAAAAAAAAAAAAAAAACCCTTGAATGAGTAGGTATTCTAAAACGTTTTACCGGTAGTGTACTATAGATACACTACATGACCAAAAGTATGGTATGTGGACACCTGCTCGTCGTACATCTCATTCCAAAATCATGGTTATTAATATGGAGTTGGTCACCCCTTTGCTGCTATAACAGCCTCCACTCTTCTGGGAAGGCTTTTCACTAGATGTTGGAACATTGCTACAGGGACTTGCTTCCATTCAGCCACAAGAGCATCAGTGAGGTCGGACACTGATGTTGGGCGATTAGGCTTGGCTCGCAGTCGGCATTCCAATTCATCCCAAAGGTGTTCGATTGGGTTGAGGTCTGTGCTCTGTGCAGGCCATCCACACCGATATCGACAAACCATTTCTGTATGGATCTTGCTTTGTGCACGGGGGCATTGTCATGCTGAAACAGGAAAGGGCCTTCCCCAAACTGTTGCCATAAAGTTGGAAGCACAGAATCGGCTAGAATGTCATTGTATGCTGTAGCGTTAAGATTTCCCTTCACTGGAACTAAGGGGCCTAGCCCGAACCATGAAAAATAGCCTCAGACCATTATTCCTTCTCCACCAAACTTTACAGTTGGCACTATGCTTTCGAGCAGGTAGTGTTCTCCTGGCATCTACCAAACCCAGATTCGTCTGTCAGACTGCCAGATGGTGAAGTGTGATTAATCACTCCAGAGAACGAGTTTCCACTGCTCCAGATTCCAATCGCGGCGAGCTTTACACCAGTCCAGCCAACGCCTGGCATTGCGCATGGTGATCTTAGGCTTTTGTGCGACTGCTCGGCCATGGAAACCCATTTCATGAAGCTCCCGACGAACAGTTCTTGTGCTGAGGTTGCTTCCAGAGGCAGTTTGGAACTCGGTAGTGAGTGTTGCTACTGAGGACAGACGACTTTTAAACGCTACGCACTTCAGCACTCAACGGTCCCATTCTGTGTGGCCTACCACTTTGCGGCTGAGCCGTTGTTGCACCTTGACGTTTCCACTTCACAATAACAGCACTTACAGTTGACCGGGGCAGCTCTAGCAGGGCAGATATTTGACGAACTGACTTGTTGGAAAGGTGGCATCCTCACAGGTGCCACATTGGAAGTCATTGAGGCTTCAGTAAGGCCATTCTACTGCCAATGTTTGTCTCTGGAGATTGCATGACTGTGTGCTTGATTTTATACACCTGTCAGCAACGGGTGTGGCTGAAATAGCCGAATTCACTAATTTGAAGGGGTGTCCACATACCTTTGTATATACAGTGCATTCGGAAAGTATTCAGACCCTTTACCTTTTTCCATATTTCGTTACATAACAGCCTTATTCTAAAATGGATTAAATAAATAAGAATCCTCATCAATCTACACACAATACCCCATAATGACAAAGCGAAAACAGGTTTTTGAAATGTTTGCAAATGTTTTAAAAATAAAAAACAGAAATACCTTATTTACATAAGTATTCAGACCTTTTGCTATGAGACTCGCGATGAGCTCAGGTGCATCCTGTTTCCATTCATCATCCTTGAGATGATTCTACAACTTAATTGGAGTCCACCTGTGGTAAATTCAATTGATTGGACATGATTTGGAAAGGCACAGACCTGTCTATATAAGGTCCCACAGTTGCCAGTGCATGTCAGATTAAAAACCAAGCCATGAGGTCGAAGGAATTGTCTGTAGAGCTCAGAGACAGGATTCTGTTGAGGCACAGATCTAGAGAAGGGTACCAAAAAAGTTCTGCAGCATTGAAGGTCCCCAAGAACACAGTGGCCTCCATCACTCTTAAACGTAAGAAGTTTGGAACCACCAAGACTCTTCCTAGAGCTGTCCGCCCGGCCAAACTGAGCAATCGGGGGAGAAGGGCCTTGGTCAGGGAGGTGACCAAGAACCCGATGGTCACTCTGACAGAGCTCCAGAGTTCCTCTGTGGAGATGGGAGAACCTTCCAGAAGGACAACCATCTCTGCAGTGCTCCACCAATCAGGCCTTTATGGTAGAGTGGCCAGACGGAAGCCACTTCTCAGTAAAAGGCACAACACAGCCCGCTTGGATTTTATCAAAAGTCACCTAAAGGACTCTCGGACCATGAGAAACTAGATTCTTTGGTGTGATGAAACCAAGATTGAACTCTTTGTTCTGAATGCCAAGCGTCACATCTAGAAGAAACCTGTCACAATCCCTACGGTGAAGCATGGTGGTGGCAGCATCATGCTGTGGGGATATCGTTCAGCGGCAGGGACTGGGAAACTAGTCAGGATTGAGGGAAAGATGAACCGAGCGAAGTACAGAGAGATCCTTGATGAAAACATGCTATAGAGCGCTCAGGACCTCAGACTGGGGCGAAGGTTCACCTTCCAACAGGACAACAACCCTAAGCACACAGCCAAGACAACGCATGAGTGGCTTTGGGACAAGGCTCTGAATGTCCTTGAGTGGCCCAGTCACAGCCCGGACTTGAACCCGATCAAACATCTCTGGAGAGAACTGAAAATAGCTGTCCAGCGATGCTCCCCATCCAACCTGACAGAGCTTGAGAGAATCTGCAGAGAAGAATGGGAGAAACTCCCAAAATACAGGTGTGCCAAGCTTGTAGCGTCATACCCAAGAAGACTCTAGGCTGTAATTACTGCCAAAGGTGCTTCAACAAAGTACTGATTAAAGGGTCTGATTACTTATGTAAATGTTATATTAAAGTTTTTTATTTTTTAATATATTTCAAAAAATATATAAAAACCTTTTTCTGCTTGGTCATAAAAAATATATATATAAAGTTTTATATATTTAAAATCCATTTTAGAATATGGCTGTAACGAAACAAAATTTGGAAAAAGTCAAGGGGTCTGAATACTTTCCGAATGCACTGTATATTTAAAGGATACAATTAGACAGAATACCATACAGAAAGAGATCTCATCTGGATCCATTGGAGCCCCTAGCTTTCCCTTGGCTTTGATACACATTTGGCAAGTCTCGTATAATTACAAATCCAACTGGGGAAGTTTTGGGGAAGAAAAGGGAGCATCAGTGACCATGGATTGGAACATGTGTGGCTAGGGAGTTGCTGCTTGAATGAGTGTTTTTTCCGTCTGCAATACAATGCAGGTGTACTGTACGCTAGTCGGTTGCTTTTAGTACGACTGCATTTTTCCGTCTGCAATACAATTCAGGTGTCCTGTAGATACAAATGGCTTGTTTGTGAGATGGTGCGAGTTGATGAATTGCCCGTTGTAATTATAATGGTTTATTCAGCCACCATGTTTCATTACCGATTCCCACACTAGCGTCACATGGTCTTGTCCTTTGGGCATTAGTACAAGGTCAAACCGAATAAAGATTGCTCTACCATGGCTTTCCAATCTCTCCCTAACCTTTGGGATTTAATTAGGAGAGGGAAATGTATTGATATTGTCAGACACATTTGAATATCAACATGGCTTTATATATTTTCAGCCTGTGTTTACAAATTAAATCTGCCTGTGTGATCCACATTCTGGGGACAGATGGTTTTTGCGGAATGAATGCTTCTATTACAGGCTGTCAACATTACACAAACAGTGATTATTTTTATGGTTTGATTGATTGGCAGTGAATCTGGTGGAATGAACACAGGCATTGACTTTAGTGTTTGGTCTAAAAAGACTCAAATATTTTTGTGTGATTTTTGGGGGGGCAAATATTTCTGGGGGAAATAATCAGTTTCTCTCTTTAATCTTGAAGCCACTCTGTAATAATCATTGCATACACCCCAAAAAATAAAAATAACACTTTGCGAAATTGGATTGGGATGGTTTTGTTACACCATGAAATAGGAAAAAGTCAGACTCAATTGGAATCGAAGCACAAGGACCATTGAATAGTTCACTTTAAAAGCTATGGGCCTTCGCATTTTTAATCACTCATATTGTGGCCTTATGAAGTAATCTTTCTAAATGACTCTGTGCATTTAAATAGCTAATTTGCCTGATTTTGGCTTTTGCTTTGATCTGTCCTGGGCCAGTAGAATGACTCATTGTTATTTACCACTCAAAAGTGCCTTAGCCTCTTCTTGAACTCCCCTTGCAGTGGGACAAATTAATAACGCTAAATTATGCTAATCTAACTTGACACTATTGTTTCCCCTCTTGTCTTTCCTATATAGGATGATTCCCGTGGCCAGCAAAGCCTTCTTACTCACCAACCTGGTCCAAGACATGCAGTACGACCTATGTGTCCTGGCTATCTGGGACGACACCGCCACCACCCTAACTGCCACCAACGTAGTGGGCTGTGTCCAGTTCATCACCCGTGACGACTACCCGCAGTGCCAGTCCCTCCACAGCCAGTTCCTGGGCGGCACTATGATCCTGGTGATCGGTGGCATCATCGTGGCCACGCTCCTCGTCTTCATCATCATCCTCATGGTTCGGTACAATGTGTGCAGCAGCACCCAGTCCAGCAAGCTGCCAGTGGTTAGCAACACATACTCCCAGACCAACGGTGACTTGAACCGGCTCAACAGTGCCCCACCACTGCAGGTCAAACCTCAGATCACGACCACAGTGGTGGTGATACGGGATGAGGTGGTGGAATGCAAATGTGGCTCGCTCCAGAGCAGCCTCTCCTCGTCTTCATCTGACTCGTTGGACAGTCGCAACGCTAGAGGCAGGTTAGGAAATGGGGACCGGTACAGTCTTCGGGACAGCGAGTTCATCACACTCCCCAGCACCAGTAATTGGAGGAGGCACGGGGGGCCATCATCGGCCAAGGCTAGGCCCAACTTGGACAACCTTTTAGGGGCCTTTGCTTCACTGGAGCTCCGGAGCTCGGCTACGACTAGGGACCAGGGGGCATCTTGTTCCTCCACCACCACCTCCAGTTCATTGGTGGCCGTGACCATGGCCCCTCTGTCTGACAAGGAGCCCTTGCTGGGCCGAGCCGAGTCCACCACCATGCTGGGGCGTTTTCTAGGCCTGCCCCAGGAAGGGAAGCCCAAGAGGAGCCACTCATTCGACTACGGCCACGTGGGTAGCAGCGGCGGCGCACAGAGCCTCAGCAACTACCCCTGTCACATCAGCAACATCTGGACTAAGAGGAGCCTGTCGGTAAATGGGTTGCTACTGCAGTACGACGACAGCGAAGACAGTGAGGGCGAAAAGGCGCCGTTCGAGAGTTCAGAGTGGGTGATGGAGAGCACTGTTTGAGCACGGGTTTCGGTCGGACCATGAGGTCAAAGGTCAAAAGAGAAACAGACTTTACAGAAAAAAAACAAGGGACCGAAGAGTGATTTGGAATAATACCTCTGGGGCATCCACAGTGCTGTACTGCATGAAGTTCATCCATTTGAATACTATTTATTGTCCTTCTGTCCGTGAGATTCTACCGAAACAAACACTCAGGTTGGTTGTTCCTAAGACTGTACAAATCAATCGCCAGGGTTGGCCACGCTCTCAATTCGCTGGCAGGGAAGACTCCTGTCCTCAACCGCATTTGAAAAAATATATGCATTACGGAACAAAGCCCCTATGGAATTGTGCAGATACAGTATATGGAATAATGCCCGATCCCTCTGAATTAATGTGGGAGTATCTTTGAGAAACAGGGGAAATAAAAGCGAGGAATTCAAAGTGGATTTCCCATGTCTTTATCTTTCGAGCTCTATGCCAAGGGGATTTACCGAGACTGGCAAAGTGGATGTGCATCACAATGCTTTAGACTAGGGCTCTCCAACCTTGTTCCTGGAGAGCTACCCTCCTGTTGGTTTTCAATCCCACCCAATTTGTAACTAACCTGATTCAGCTTATCAACCAGCTAATTATTAATCAGATGCGCTAGATTAGGGTTGGATTGAAAACCTACAGGACGGTAGCTCTCCAGGAACAGCGTTGGAGAGCCCTGCTTCAGACTCGCAGCATGAAAATGGCACTTCAGTAGAGCAATGGGAGAGCAAATATGTAACAAAATGAATAATTTTTCATGTTTCCTTTTGTTTTTTATGTAATTTTTACTATCAATTTTAGATGTCACTATTGAGAGTTCTACTTAATGCGTAAATAAACAAAACAATATAAATTATGGTAAATCAAGAATAATATACTAAATATTTACCCAGTCCCCTCAGAAAGACATTTCATAACAGCCTGGTTTCTATTTTGGCACAAACATAAAGGAAATCTTAGATGTACACTATCTGATAACCCTGGTCATTTATTTCAAAACATCAATGGTTGGTTCATTAAGGGCATTGTGATAATAAAATATGTAGAGGTTGACTTTCAAAATAGTCACATTTTCTACCTCAGGTTCTAAATAATATGAAATATATAGCCTGAATACAGTGGATTATTTCAGAAATAGTATATCATATGAAAATAATCTTCCTTATTTGTCAATTTCCTGGAGAATCACTCAATGCAATTATCAATCAAAATCCCTTTTGGTGTATAGGCCATTGATTTGTTTTGCCCCAGAATGATACACAAGCCATGTGTTTCACAGTAGAGACTTATTGAGAACCCTCGACAATTTAAATTAATGTCATCATGCTGCTGTAATCCAATTTATGAAAAATGAATTTAATACGAAAGGGAAGGAGAAGGATATTTATCTACAAATGTATAAATAATTATACAGTGTCTGTCTGAATACACAGAACCATGTTGGTTTGTTTGTTAAGATATCAAACGTCTATTGGTTTATTTTCTCATTTCATCCTCTTATATTAGTCTATTGTCTCCACGTTACAGTAACAGACTGTGAATGCGTATGTATGAAGTTGCATAGGAACGTGATGAATTATAAAATGTGTTTCTATCTGAACTACTGCCAATGTGATCAGCTCATAACGATGAGTCCTCTCTAGAATGGTGTGCAGATTCAGATGCCTTTTAATGTTCTCTTTGACTCTCTGCTGCATTACAATATAGTTTTTTTCATATTTTTTTTATTTGTTACTTCTCTTGGTGTATACTGTTCTGTATATATGAAATTTTTTGTACAATAACTATGGGTGAGAATGTAAAAAGGGGAAACTGTGCAGTAGTACTTTTTATTTTGTTGTTCAGCAAAAGTGAGAAGGTGCTTTACTGTGGTTTTACAACATGGAATGTGTTTAGTTGGCGCAATGGAAGGTGACGCTGTATAACGGCGCAAATAGAAATCTGTAATAAAGCTGTGTCTGTTCTAGATATTATATTTCTACATTCAATGTTGCGTGGTCATCTTCCATTTTGTTAATCAACAACAACCCTATAAGTATGTACTTGATGTGAGAAAGTCACGATTCTGACCTGAGGTTGTAGAAAAGAGAAAAAAATGAATATGTGTTTAAACATTTTTGCTACAAAAGAAGATAAAATATGAAGAATTCCTATGAACCAAATTGTGTATATTCTTGTGTTTGCATTGCATCCGGTACAGTTTGAAAGTTGTTTTTTCCTCAAAAGTCTAATCGAGTCATGCAATGACTTTCCTTGGTGTCACGTTCGTTGAGTACAGGATTGGACCAAGGTGCAGCGTGGAATGCATACATGTTTATTCACTAAGTTAACACACGACAAAACAACAAAAGCAACGTAACGCTCACAATGGCTACACTAAAACAAGAGTCAAGATCCCACAACATAGGTAGGCGAAATGGCTACCTTAGTATGATCCCCAATCAGAGACAACGATCGACAGCTGCCTTTGATTGGGAACCACACCCAGCCAACATAGATCTACAAACATAGAATGTCCACATAGAAATACACACCCTGACCAAACCAACTAAAGAAAACCGGTCTCTCAAGGCCAGGGCGTGACACTTGGGCTACATTATATTGTGCCTAAACAATTAACACGGTAAGACATTTTTCTAACATCACTCTCGAAGCTTTAGGCTGGGCAACAAACTATATTGCACTGTCATGTCAGTTATGATAGCTAGCAATTTAGCCACAGGGAAATTGTTTGCAAGTGAACCTTGTGGTGTGTTCAGTGCTATGACCATGACAAGTGAAAGGATTTTGTGTGCAAGAGATTGTAGCAATTGCTAAATTGAAACGTATTAAATTAATTAATTCATTGTAGATACAGCAGACAGCTCTGGTCTATGATTATTGTTGCCATTATTACAGTGGTAACTTATTACAGTACAATGTGCAACTAAACATTATTCTTCACTGCTAACTAGCAACCCTGCTAGTCAACTGGCCACTTCAACAAACGTGTCACATAATGAAATACATTGTCCTGGGTTAATATCACTGGATAGAAGAGTTAATCAGGATAACGTTAATCATATCTCTGGTAAGAGAAATACATTGATTTATTTTCAACAACCATCTTGTAATCACTTCATATCCAAATTCGTCGTGGCATGGACTATAAGGTGTCGAAAGCTTTCCACAGGGATGCTTGCCCATGTTGCCTCCAATGCTTCCCACAGTTGTGTCAAGTTTGCTGGATGTCCTTTAGGTGATGGACCATTCTTGATACACACGGGAAACTGTTGAGCGTGAAAAACCCAGCAGCGATGCAGTTCTTGACACACTCAAACCGGTGCGCCTGGCACCTACTACCATACCCCTTTCAAAGGCACTTCAATCTTTTGTCTTGCCTATTCACCCTCTGAATGGCACACATAAACAATCCATATCTGAAATGTCTCAAGGCTTAAAAATCTTTCTTTAACCTGTCTCATCCCATTCAGTGGATATGAAGTGAATTTAATAGGAGACGTCAATAAGGCATCATAGCTTTCACCTGGATGCACCTGGATAGTCTATGTCATGGAAAGAGTTCCTAATGTTTTGTACACTCAGTATAGTGCCTAAAGCTGACCGTTACATAGATATAGTGGCACATGCTAGCCATGAGCAAGGGCGCAAGTTTGTGTTGCACATTGGTGGGTTTGGGGTCAATGGGTTCCAGGGTCAACACCCTTCTGGTTGTTACACCCCTCCCCCCAGTGGTTGTTACTGGTGAATTTTGAAGAGAAAATACATCCCAAACCTTCCTGAAAATATGGTCAATATACCAATAAATACTTTGGAAGAAGATCTGGTAAAGCAGTTACTAAAACAGCTGTACCATAGGTTCTGTAGTGAATATTTTGATTCAGCGAACAGATATGAATAGCAGAGAAGTAGACGAATATTCCAAATGCTTTTTGTCTAACTTGTTGGGGTAGTGGTCAAAACGGCAGTTGTTTGCATAAATGTTACAGAAAATGTTGTTGATGCGTTTACTTAAACTGCTGTAAACTGCATATCATTTTTGGTTCAAACGCCAGATTTGAGTTGCAGAGAAGTAGACGAAGATGTGAATGCTCTAAATTATTGTCTACCTTGTTGCAAAGTGGAATAATTAGCTGATTTGTGTCAAAAGTTGCATGATTTCACTTAGAGAATGGCAGTTGGAAGTGATGATGACACAATGGGGATCTTTAGAATCTTGATGAAATGCCATGAAAGCGGATGTAGGCCAAATAATTGAATAAAAGTTTCATAACGTAAAAAGTATAACAGATATCAAAAAGTTGTATACAAGCAACTCGAGTGAGACCATTCCGGACATTTTGAACTTTCAACAGCGTTTCTAGCTTAAAGAGTGTAGGAGGAGTAGCATGTGGAATAATAATAATATAAAGAAGAAGTATGTCGAATATCTAAGATGGGGCTCTTGCCGCGCAAGCCCCACAATAAAACAAGTATTCCAATTTAGTTAATAAATTAGCCTTTTACTAATCAAGAAACAGTACATACAAACACCAGTACCTGATGTCCCTTCCATATTAAAATCAAGAAGAAAAAACATTTGTGAAGGAGAAATAAACCAGCTTAATGATGTGCAATGTCACATGCATTCCTATCAATGAAGACTAGGGTGGGCCAATTTCTATTGTAGACTTTCTGAAATTAAAATACAAATAAAGCTGGTTCTTGAAGTTTTCTAAGGGTGATAATTAGATTGCATAAAAATGATTAGAAGCACTAAACATACATTACATGACCAAAAGTATGTGGACACCTGCTTGTCGAACATCTCATTCCAAAATCATGGGTATTGATATGGAGTTGGTCCCCCCTGCTGCTATAAGAGCCTCCACTCTTCTGGGAAGACTTTCCACTAGATGTTGGAACATTGCTGGGGGAACTTCCTACCATTCAGCCACAAGAGCATTAGTGAGGTCTGGCACTGATGTTGGGCGATTAGGCCTGGC